AGTCTAATTGGTCTATCAGACCCAGGAATGAGGCCCAGCCCCTGAAAAATGAGAACTTTCCCCACCTTCCCTGATCCCAAGCTCTGAGTTTCCTTCCAGAGTTAAGTAGGATGAAAACTTAGACATGAAAAATGGAGTCACAGAAAATCAAGTCTTTCTGTATATTTGAGTTGATGGATTGAGAATCATATCAAATATTTTAGACCTATATTTTCCTATTTAAACATTTTCCACCTGGCTCTGTTTTAACTAATTTTTATTTAGTTTTATTTTTCAAAGTTTAACTTGTATTTTGATTAGCCATTGAGAACTCCTGATCTTAGCTTTGCAATATTCATAGTTTTAAGCTTAAGCTTAAAATCCTCTACCTAGGCTGGGAGGAGCAAAAGGTTACTGTTCCATGGTATTCTTTTTTTTCCTAAGCAATTTGGTCCTCATTGGGCAAGTTATGAAAAAAAATAGGTTGTGTTTTAAAAACTGAAATTATCTTAAAACTCCCATGAAAACAGTTTCACAAATACATGTATTTCACTAACTTTTGCAGCACTGTGAATTTCTATAATCATTTTATCCTATGTATGATAGAAAAACTGGCCTCACTGGGATATCCAAAATATTGGATGGTGAGCACCATCTGGTGGCAGCATGTTTATTTATTTCTTCATAGTTGGGTCTTCCATTTTTTTCTGACTCATGAGGGAGATTCTGAAGTTCCTTGGGGAGCAGATACAGCAAGGAAGACTCGAAAATGGTTTTCTCCAATACTACAAGCGCCACTTCTAAAGATATGAAGACTCGGAAAAGAGAATTAAAAGAAGATAAAATATGTTGGAAGGAGAGAACTAAAAACACAGGAGCTTATGAGGCTACCATCAAATGAAAACTTTTGTGAAGAACTAGCCTGAATGACAGAAATTGTCCTTTATGAATATTTCCCCCCCATGCTAATTCTAGGTTTGTAAGCCTCATAGATTGTACTTTTCAGTGTCCTCAATTATTCAAATTGGTAAGTTGTTTTTTTTTTTTTTTTTGTCAGTCGTGGGGCTTGAACTCAGGGCCTGGGCACTGTCCCTCAGCTCTTCAGCTCAAGGCTAGCACTCTACCACTTGAGCTAAAGCGCCACTTCCAGTTTTCTGGTGGTTTATCGGAGATAAGAGTTTCGTGGACTTTCCTGCCCAGGCTGGCTTTGACCCGTGATCCTCAGATCTCAGCCTCCTGAGTAGCTAGGATTACAGGCGTGAGTCACCAGCGCCCGGCTCAAATTGATAAGTTTTTATAGATCTTTGTAATTCTTCACTTGGTTGGGAGACAATTTGACTTAACTTTTAAAAACTTTTTACTTCCCTTTTTTCCTATAAGAAATAAAAATAGCCAGAGTCCTTATGATTCCTGGGAGAGAGAAATAGGTTCATAAATACCTGTGCCCTGAAATAAGAGGGTAAATTCTGCAGAAGGTTCAGCTATAATTTATGTATGAAATCCTTTTCTTCTCCTTACAATGTTCTTTTTTCTATCTCCTTCAGTTCCTCTCTTTATTTAAGAAACATCTTGGAGCTGGGTACCGGTGGCTCACGCCTGTAATCCTAGCTATTCAGGAAGCTGAGATCTGAGGATCACAGTTTCATGCCAGCTCTGGCAGGAAAGTTTGTGAGACTCTTATCTCCAATTAACCACCAGAAAACGACATGGTGCTGTGGCTGAAGTGGTCGAGCGCTTGCCTTGAGCTGAAGAGTGCAGGGACAGCACCCAGGCCCAGAGTTCAAGTCCCACAACTGACAAAAAAATAAAGTAGCCAGGCTCTGGTGTCTCACACTTGTAATCCTAGCTACTCAGGAGGCTGAGATCTGAGGGTTACGGTTCAAAGCCAGCCTGGGCAGGAAACGTCCAAAAAACCATTCTGAAAACCAGAAGTCGTTCTGTGGCTCAAGTGGTAGAGCACTAGCCTTGAGCTGAAGAGCTGAGGGACAATACCCAGGCCCAGAGTTCAAGGCCCACTACCAACAACAAAAAAAAAGTAACATCTTGTCTCTCCTCTACCACAGCCACCAGGCTGAATACAATGGGATAAAATTATAGTATTTGATCTGTATCACACCTTTCAACATTCTCACTCATCCCTCCCTTACCCAGCTGCTTCCCTCTACTCTAGTTTTGTAGATTCTTGATTGAAAGGGGTGACATTGATCGAGATATATTACATCCATAAACTGTTAAGTGGCAACTCCTTTGTACCACCATTTAAAAATAATAATAAAAAGAAAGCATGACAGTACTTGCCCTCAGGGAGCACCCAGTCCAAGGTGTGGACATCATAATTCTAGTCTAATCACAAGAAAGGCATCAGCTAAACCTCAATTGAGGAACATTCTACTAAACACCTACCCAGCAATTCTCACAATTGTCAAGATCAAAAAGATCAAAGGAAATATGAGACACTGTCACAGTTCATAGGAGACAGAAAATGTGATCGTGTCATGTAAAGTAGTATCCTAGGCATTAGAAGCAAACTAATGCTATCTGAATAAAGTATGGAGTTTATGCAATAAAAACAGATCAATATTGATTCACTAATTATGACAAATGTACTTTAGTAATATAGTATCACTAGGAAAAACTGGATGTGGGCTTCAAAGGAATTCTGTATTACCTCTAACATTACTGAAAGTCTAAAACTATTCTAAAATAAAAGGTATGTTTAGATATTAAAAATAAGATAAACGACTACCAATAAGCAACAGTAGCTCACTATAATCCAGTCTACTCAAGAAGCTGAGATCTGAGAATCAAGGATTGAAGTCAGCCTGGGCAGGAAAGTCTATAAGACTCTTATCTCTAATGAACCATCAAGAAAGCCAGAAGTGAGGTTGCACTAGTGGCAGAGGGCTAGCCATGAGCATAAAAGCTCCTGGGATTGCGCTCAGGTCCTAAGTTCAAGCCCCAAGACCAGAAAAGGAAAAAGGTATAGATTTTTCCAAAGAGCAGCAAAGAGTATGAACTTGGACGATGAGGTTCAGAGAGTGAGGACTGCCATGACTAGAGACCTCTCAGCTCTCCATACATTCCTAGTTTCTTGCACTTTCATGAGTTTGCCTGGTCTGTATGTGTGTAGGTGTATATGACTGAGTGTGTTTGTGGTATGTATGTTTTATAAGGACCCAAGTTATCGCTTTTTGCTGGTTAATTGGAGACAAGAGTCTCATGAACTTTTCTGTTCCAGGCTGGCTTTGAACTGACTCCAGACTAGCCCATAGAGGTCAGTATAGAAATGGCCACCCAAGCCATTCTATGACTTATGAAAGGCATTACTGCATAACAAGGCTTTCCCATAGTCTATCTATGTGTACACACACACACACACACACACACACACACACACACACACACACACACACACACACACACACACACACACACACACACACACACTACTCCTGACCTCCTTGTGCCCAATGTGGCTTTTTTCCTTTCAGGGGGTGTAAAGCAAAACAAAACATTACTTCCCATTTCCATCATTCATCTGGCCAGTAGCCAGCAAACAGTCTTTTTGAAAGTATAGATAATAAATATTTTAGACTTTTTCTTGGCCGAGTCAAATATCTTATATAATTAGGTATGTACTTACATAATATGAGAAAAATTAATTCCCACACTTAGTTAAGATATTAAAAATATAATAATAACTGGTGGCAGTCTTGTAATATTCATCTGATAATGAGGAGAATTATTTTTGAGGAGGATGATCTTTTGATTAATTAGAGATTGAAGGTAATATTCTTTTGCATCCATCAATTTGCAAGTCTTCATCTGTGGAATTTCTTGGGCACTTCTGGACCAGATTTGGCTCCAAGATTGGAGTTTGCTGAGCCCTACAGACTCTTGGGTAACTCTCAAAAAGCCTTGCTTCTAATAGCTTCTAACTCACTTTATCAGACTAAATCAGGAAAAGGAAATTTTATCATCCTTTCATCCATTCATTCAGTGAACATTTATTGAGCTCATATTACATACCAGGTACTAAGTACAAGGATACCCATGGACAGCATACCTTCTTTGCACTGCCTAGTGGATGGCGCACACACTGGTGCTCTGGGCTGTCTCAGAAATGTGTGAAAGAACACTGAAACTATGCTCATGGGAATTATACAACCAAGGATGAGTTTGGTAAATCCTAAATGTGAAGTCTTCCCCCTGCCATATAGGCCCTGACCTCCCCACCTCTTCCTAAGTCTCCACCGAGTATCTGTGTCACCTAGGTAACGGTCACACCTGGAGGCAGTCACCTCCCTCCTCCAAGGTCACATCCTGGGCCACCCCAGTTGTGCCTCCCATCAGACTGTGGGAGGGTCCCAGGCCCTGACGTCATATCCATATCCGGTGCCACACCTTCCCTCACCTTCTCCCCGCCTCTTCCCTACTTAAACCCTGGTAGGACCTCAGCTTGCCCTTCTGCCATGCCATGTGGTTCTCCGCCATACACAAATGGGGCCACAGTTCGGTAATACATTCCTGCCTGAATACCACGTGGTGTTCTCTTTATTGGGCTACCTAATTAAACCTACCCTTTTCATTTACCTAACACTAAATTCCTTACAAGTCTATCATAACGATTTTTTTTCCAAAAGAATAAACTTAAAATACTGTTACAAAAATGAATTTTGTTCTCGTTTTCTCCCACTCCCTGTCCCATTGAGCTTTCTAAAACTAATTGTAGGAACACATACTCCCCACCATACACACACACACACACACACACACACACACACACACACACACCATGCACACATACACATACCTACTCACAAAAAATATATTACATTTGGGCTCTGTGTAAATCATTTTATACTTGGCTCTTTCCCCAATTTTAGTTTCAAAATTTTAAAGCATAGTCAATAAATGATTTGGCAACAGTTAAGAAGTCACAAGTTCCTTCCTTCTTAAACTTCTGCAAAATCTGGGCGAGGTTCCGCTGATGGTAACAAGATCTATTTCAGGAAGTTCACCAGCTAGTCTTCTCTACACATATCCTGAGAAGAGGGGACCGTTTGGCACTGCTTCTGGTGGGGGAATGAGAAGTTGGATGGGACCTCAGCTGAGAACTGGTAAGCTATACCTGTTCTCATAGCAAAGCTTTTCAACAAAAGAAGATTTCTGGCCCAGAAATGTGGATTGGGGCCACAGGTTTGAACAAAGGAAGTCATAAAAGGTAAAAACAAGTCGAAGAATGTTAAAGATCCAAACAAGACAAAGAGGCATGCTATGTTTCAATTTGGGTGGATGCTAGCATAGAGAGCAAATTCTGAAACTCGAAGAAAATTTTCTTTTCATTTAGAACAGGAAAAATAGGGAAAATGCAAGATACTGACCCTGTCAGAGGCAGTATTCTCTTCCAGAAAAATTTTTATTGATTGACTGAATGATTTTTGATGGTCCTGGGGCTTGAACTTTGGGACTGTGCCCTTTCCTTGAGCTTCTGTTGTTCAAGACTAGTGCTTTACCACTTGAGCCACAGTGGCACTTCTGGCTTTTTGGATGATTTATTGGAGATAAGAATCACAGACTTTCCTGCTTGGGCTGGCTTTGAACTGTGATCTTCAGATCTCAGCTTTCTAAGTAGCTAGGATTACAGGCATGAGCCATGGGCACCTTGGCAAAACTTTAAAAAGAACAACAGCATTTGATGTTAAGGGGCAGACAAAAGCTTTTACTTGGCTATTTCAATGTAAAAGGACAAATTCTCTCCCTTTAGTCTAACTTTAGTCTAACTTTAATATAACTACTTAGTAAAGACCAAGCCTACCAGAGCTACTGAAAGCTTAAATTTCAATATAAATTGTTATTTTCTCCTTAGAATTTTAAAGAACATGCTACTACTTCTGTAATTAATGTTCTACAATGACTAGACCTAGCAAGTAGTCTGTTTTACTATTGCCAAAACTATCAGATTGAAAAACAAACATTACTACTTTTTTATTTTTGGTCAATGGTGGGGCTTGAACTTGGGGCTTAGGCACTGTCCCTGAGCTCTTTCTGCTCAAGGCTAGCATAATACCCTTTGAGCCACAGTGCCACTTCCAGTTTTCTGGTGGTTAATTGGAGTTAAGAGTCTCATGGACTTTCCTGCCTGTGCTAGTTCGAACTACAATCTTCAGATCTCAGTCTTCTGAGTAGCTAGGATTATAAGCATGAGCCACCAGGACCTGGCACAACACTTTTTAAATAATAGATTTTTTTTCTAGAAAATTCAATAATGTTTAAGAGCATTTTGAAAAAGACTGATTTTTACGAGAATTTCCTTAGATGTTTAGTGTTTACCGAAGTCCTTATAAAGCTTTTTGATAAGAATTTCATGCATATTTAACTTTTTGAAGTTTTTGCTCTTAATGTCCATTATGAATCCTGAAGATCAATTAATTCTGCACTAAAATTGTATGATGCTTTAAACAAAAAAAATCACGGTAGTCCACAGGGGACTGGGCAGTCAGGCTAGTGGCACATCTGAAATTGCAGTTACTGTTGTCCAATTTCTATTTGAGAGATTGCTATGATAGCCAATAATAGTCAATCATAAGAAATAGAATATAGAACAATTATAGAATCAAATGAAGCTTAAAAATGCCTACTTTGCTCCCACTGGTGGCAGATTGAGGTCAAGATCTACTGGCTACAGAGTAGTCACAAGAACTTGAAAAAGTCTTTCCACCCAGGTTGAGTCCCAAAGGACACAAACACCAAAATCTCCATGGAGGAGATGATCTGGACATTTGTAACTTAAATTTCCAACTGTCTTCAATGTACAGCCAAAGTTAGGAATCATTTCTCTGAGGGACACATGAAGCTTTTTGTCCCTTTCCTTCATCAGAATCAACTTTTGTTGTGGAAGTAGAGGAGAAGACTCTGAAGCTTGTTTATTAGCCATCTTTGGATTGATTTCAGAAAGCAAAATAGAAGCTCCAGTTAGGAGTAGGCATGGTAACAGTCACCTGTAATCTATACAGTTTCAAGGAGCTAAGGCAAGAAAACATGATTTTGAGACCCCATTGGGCTATATAACAAGACCCTATCTCAAAGTATAACAGCAACAACAAAAATGAAACCAAAGAAGAAGACCATGGGCTTGGCATGTAGCATCATGGTAGAGTGCTTGATTAGTATTCTTAAGGTGTTGTGTTCATTCCCCAGCAGTACTAGATAACAAGAAACAAAAACTTTCTTTCTAAAAGTTCTAGGTTTGTTTGTCTGACAGGCTGAGGCTGTGGACTAAGGTGAAGACACTTGATAGGGTTCATTCTCCTCCCGCTGCTGCTTCTTATCCTTCATGTAATAATCATAAAACAATAGGAAGCCCTAGACTTACAGAGTGTCTCATTGGGTCTCCTAAGGAAGGAGACCATAACACTTGGTTAGTAGCAGCATCTACCGAAGAGATCATCATTCTAAAGGAATGTCCTTTAAGTTCAAATGAGTTATTTTGGAGGATTTGTTATTTTTAAGCAATTAGCTATTAACTCGTCAGCACTATAAAGCCATGGTCCATTCAGATGCAGAACCTAGGGCTTTTGGACAGACACACACTAGAAAATATGGCTGTGCTGACTTTTCAGATACTTACAAAGAATTGCTAGTTCAATCTCAACTCAGTAGCTTTTTTACTATTGTACAGAATGTCAGAAAATGTGGAAGTGTTCTGTGGTAGCCTGATCAGTGCAGAAAGGCAAAGTAGAAACTCTGGCTCTGACAACTGAAGCATGTTGGTTTGAGATATGCTGTGATGTCTCTGCTTATCAAAGAAGCCACATCATTGCCAATGAGCTCCTTGTCCCAATGCCCCTAATTCATGAGCCACACAGGCTCATTTTCAGCTCTGCACCTATTTGAGTGACCTTGGGAACCTTAGGTTCCACATCTGGAAAGTCAGAGCTAGTGACTTTTAGAGGATTAAATGAGCCAATTAAAGAGTTATACTTGACCTTGTGTTTACTTCACAGTAAAGCACTCAACAAGTGCACGTTAGAACATTCCCCAATTCAAATGGCATTTTTTTTCATATTTCTATGGATTTAAAACTGAGATCCATCTCTTGCATGAGAAGGTGCATCTTAATGTCCTGTTTTCTTTTGTCTTCCAAATCTGTTTGTGGACTCTTCAAATTTGAGATGGAAAAATTGAAAGTATCCCCTATTAGTTGTAAATCTCACCTAAGATGGCAAATCTTATCTGTATAACTATTCTTCAATTAATTTGCTGTTAGAATGAATCCATGGTCAAGACAGTCAATTGCAAATGATTTGGAACTTATTAAAAATTAGAAATAATTTCAGGCTGGCAAAAATTCCATTTTACTTGAATCTTGGTGCAAAAACAGCTAAGTAATCACTTAAGGAGATTCATTGCATCTGACAATAAGTTTTCTGGACACTTTAGAGTTAGAGGATCAGCAGGACCAATGCCAGAGAAGCGTGCAGCTAGGGAGATAGTCTGAAGCAAATCAGACCTTGTCCAAAGGAAATCCAGCATGCATTGGTTTCAGTGCTGGCAATGGAACCCAGGATCATGCACATGCTCAGCCAGTGCTCTACCACGATGCTCCATCCCCCAGCCCTGGTAATTTTGAGACAGGATCTAGCTATGCAGCCTGCCTGACCTCAAACTTATTCTATTGCCTTGCAATCCAGCTCATCTTGAAGTAAGCCTTGAAGAGGAAGGAAGGAAGGAATTAGTCATTTTTGCAAAATAACTGCCTATAGCCTAGGAGGAGATGGGAAAAAATAAAAATATGGTATAATTTCAAAGGGGCTTCTGGGTGGCTCCTAGTCCACCTGCATTTTTGATTCGGAAGGGTACACTGCAGGCTCACCTGGCTATCCTAGTTACTCAGGAGGCTGAGATCTGAGGATCACAGTTCAAAGCCAGCTTGGGCAGGAAAGTCTGTGAGTCTTTTATATCCAGTAAACCACCAGAAAACTGGAAGTGGCACCATATATGTGGCTCAAGTGGTAGAGCTCTCAGCTTGAGCTAAAGAGCTGAGGGACAGCACCCAGGCCCAGAGTTCAAGCCCCACGCCAACAATAAATAAATAAACAAACAAATAAATAAATATACCTTTGGGTACTCAGACTGTTTAGGAGTTCAGAATTGCAGAGGAAAAACTTGAAGTCTAAGTCAACTAGAATTAAAAAAGAAACTACCATCAGTCACTGTCTTGGAAAGGTGAAATCTACCAATGGCTCTCTGCTTGTTTGCTTTTCCCCTTCGTGTCATCTCTTCTTTACATGTTGCAGGAATCCCTGAGATACCTTTTGCTGGCTGTTTTGTAACAGCCACATATTGCAGGTCTACCTAGAGGTTCCAGCTTCATAGACAGATTTCCTGCCTGGCGGGTCTCACCCATGGAATGAAGGGCATGGGTCAATTTGTTGGTTAGGGTGTTCCTAATGCAATCTGGAAATCCTTTCTATGAGATAAGGCCAGGATCAAGGGGGGGGGGGGTCAAAGCATTTGCTTTAGGTGCAAAATTGAAGGGAAAGAAAGCAAGAAGGTCAGTGATGAAGCGAAATAATTGTGATTTTCTAGAGGGACTGGCATTTAGGTTCAGGGATTCATGCTTGTTAGGCAGGTGCTCTGCAAGCCACTCCTACAGACCAAGATAAATAACTTTAATGTTGGAATTAAGGAACAGATTTGGCTGGGCATGATGGTGTACATCTATAATCCCAGCATTTGGGAGGCTGAGACAAGAGGATGACAACTTTGATGTAAGCCAGGGCTACAGAGTGAGTTCCAGACTGGTCTGTGTTCTGTAGCTATACCCTATTTCAAAACAACAACACAGAAACAGAAAGCCAAAACAGGAAAATACAACCTACAGACTAGGTATTTCAATAAATAGCAGTCTATGATATCATAGCCAGGCTGTGGGAGAGCCAAATGATTCAGTGTCTTGCATATGGTGTGTCTGTCCAGTCTCTGTTTTAAATATGGATCAAATGTGTTCAAAACCAGGCATATGCCTTACTTCCTAGAGTTCTCCACATATGGACCATTCTTAACTCACAGGTTTTTCTCTCTGGCAGTTTACCTTGGCCTCCACCTGTACCTAAGGCTCCTGGATTTTACCTTTCAAGAGAGTAAGTTTTAGGAATGGGGCAGGAGGGAGGATGGAGGGGTTAATTTCTCATGCAAACTCTCAGATTATCTACTGTCCAGCTGCAAGAGTGTGCCATGTACACACGTACACATACACATACACACACACAGTCTGCCACCTGAAGCTGCTGCACATTTCCAGAGTTGTGTGGTAAACTGACTCTCCTCTGGGTTTAACATATGCCACTTACTCTGATTCTGCTGTTTTGTCTCCTTATCCTTCCTTTGTCATGGTCGGGTTTTATTTCTTTACTGTTGCTTTCATGGAAATATTCAACTGTCATATGTAATCCACAGGAATCTCTCCCCCTCATTCCCTCCCTCTCTCCTTTTCCCTCTTCTTCCCTCTCCATCTCCCTGTCTCCAACAGTCTATTTTGTTTGCATAATTGCACTTTGTCCCTATTTGCATAGCATAGCTGCCATTTCAACTTTGCCAGCCTAGATTTTTAAAAAATTAACATGACAGAATAAATTTGTGTCTCAGAAGGACAGTGCTTGCTCACACATATTGGCCCTGGGTTCCATCCCCAGGAGGGAGGGAGGAAGGAAGGGAGGAAGAAGAGGGAGAGGGAGAAGGAAAGGGAGGGAGGGAGGGAGGAAGAGAGAGAGAGGGGTTGGGGGGGAGGGGGAGAGGGGGAGAGAGGGGGGGATGGGGGGAGGGAGAGAGGGGGAGAGAGGGGGAGATGGGGGGAGGGGGAGAGGGGGAGAGAGAGAGAGAGAGAGAGGGAGGGAGGGAGAGAGAGAAGCAGAGACAGAGACACCTTCATCTGGGCATCCAGGGAAATAAGCATCAGCAATCCTCTCACTCTGTAAGGTCCTGGGTAGAATACAGAGGCTTGAATGATTCACAATTTCTCTTCAACTTCTTTGTTGTCCAATTACTCCTCATTTTTCACTGTTCTTATTCAAGAACTTTGCAAATTCAAGTTATTTGGAATTTGTCAATTCCCATTCTTACAGAAGAACTTTATGGGGAGGTGGACATTGGGAACCTAACGCTTTTCATTCAGAAATATCCTTGGGAATATTCTTTTCATTTTCAAACCTGTACATTTTACACATAAGTTCCTTGAGATTCTCTGAGAAGCCATTTTGATCCTGAAAGAACTTGGCTCTCAAAGGCTCCTCTACTGGTCTCTAGTGACCTCTAGAGGTATTTCTCCTCAATTGCTCTACTCTGGATAAAGTAGTTGTGTTCATTGTTACATGTGAAGACCTTAATTTGAATTTACACAAGATGGCCCCTGCCTTGTGGACTCCCTGAAGTATCTACATGAAGATGCCTCATCTATTCTAGAATGTTCTACTTAGAGCCTGGAAATCTGGCCACATCTCCACTTCTTGCTGTTGGCTGGATACTTGGAGATAAAGAATCCCATGGACTTTTCTGCTTGTGCTGACTTCTAATTACAATCCTCACATCTCATCCTCTTGAGCAGCTAAGATTACAGGTATGAGCCACCAGTGCCCAGTCATTCATTCTGTCTTAAGTCCCTTAGTTCACCATATTCCTCACAATGCGCTTATAATATGGTGACTGGGACATGTACATGGAATGTGTTGACAAGAGATCCTGAGCCTCTTAACCTCATCTTCACTCATTCCCTCCTACTTACTGTCCTAATCCCTGCAGACCTGTTTATTTCTTTGGGACATATTTTACTTCTCTAGCCACTACATATAGGTCATATATCAGAGGACTGCACATTGATTCAGTTGTAAGTATAATCAAGTGAACTCCAAGGCTACATGGAAGAATTGGCATGTGACTTTTTAATGTAGAAGTTAGTTGGGTGGCTCACACCAGTCATCCTAGCTACTCACAAGGCTGAGATCTGAAAATCACAATTCGAAGCCAGCCCAGGTAGACAAGTCTATGAGACTCTTTTCTGAAGCTAACCAGTAAAAGGCTAAAAAGTAGAGGTGTGATTCAAGTCATACAGTACCAACCTTGAGAGGAAAAGCTAAGCCAGAGTGAGAGGCCCTAAGTTCAAGTTCCAGGACCAAGACACAAAAAAGATAATCATAATAATGAACAACTATCAATATTAAGATTGCTTTTAGATTCATACTGGCTTAGATCTGCTGAGGCCCCCAGGTGAACCTAACATGTCCTTGCCTTCCTGAATATGTCCTCTGGTATGCTTGTATCTCAGCGAAGGGGAAATGAGCCTGGCAACCCATGCCTGCCTCTGCAAAGCTGAATATTTTCAAGACAATGTCACTTATAAATGCATTTCCTGAGTATACTAGTTTCCTATTGCTGTGTAAAAAATAACCCTCAAACTTAGAAACTTCAAACAAGAGCAATTTATAACTTAGTTTTTCACAAGTTACAATCTGACAGACTCACCATGTCTCATAAGGCTGAAATCAGCTTATTGGCCAAATTGAGTTGTCATTAAGCTATGGGGCTCTGGATAAAAATTTGTCATTTCCCTCAGATCAATGGTTGATTTAGCGTCCTTTTTTTTGCCAGCCCTGGGGCTTGAACTCAGGGCCTGGGCACTGTCCTTAGCTTCTTTTGCTCAAGGCTAGCACTCTACCACCTGAGCCACAGTGCCACTTCTGGCTTTTTCTGTATATGTGGTACTGAGGAATCAAACCAGGACTTCCTGCATGTTAGGCAAACACTCTACCACTAAGCCACACTCTCGGCCCTGATTTAGTTTTTTGCAGTGATCATAGCACTGCAGTTCCTCTTTCCATTTCCTGACAAACTGTCAACAGAGTCACTCTCAACATTAAAAACTGCCTACAATCCTGCCATGGCCCCCATCATCTCGCAGTCAGCACAGGGCATTCAATCTTCTTGGGCCTCCAATCTGACTTTTCTTCTACCACTAGCCAGAGGAAATCTTGATCTTTTAAGGGTTCCATGATTAGCTCAAGCTCACCACACCATTTTCCATTCCCATACAATGTAACCTAATGACAGGAGTGATTCAGGCAGTGTTCATGGGAGCCATCTCAAAATTCTGCCTACCACACCAAGTAAAGCAAGGTCCTCTTTTAGTACAAGGTAAATAATAAGCAGAAGCACATCAATACTGCTCTATTTGGAAAGAACTGTAGACAACTGAAAAGGTCTAAGTGTTCTGCTCCACTTCGATTTTTATGTGTGTGCATATCTGTCCTAGAGCTTGAATTGGGAGTCTGGGTACTGTCCCTGTGCTTTTTAGCTCGAGGGTAGCACTCTACTACTTGAATCACAGCTCCATTTCTAACTTTTTGGTAGTCAATTGGAGGTAATAGTCTCAAAGACTTCCTGCCTGGGCTGGCTTTAAACCTTGATCCTCAGATCTCAGTCTCCTGAGTAGTTAATGTTATAGGCATGAGCAGTGGGCACTTGGCTCCATTTTGATTTTTATCTCACAAGGTGCTAGCTTTGCCTTGGTTGTTACCATGGGCAATAATTACTGATTCTTAACATAATCAACATATACATTGAAATCTTTTCTAATATTCCATAAAAGTATTAGTTCACCAAACCTAAATTGGATGAGACTTTTTAAAACTGGTACTTTTCTGGTTTAAGTCACAATAAAGACATGACTTGGGCTTTAGTAAAAATCTGATTTACTTTAGTGAATCTTCCTGTTCAGGGAAATAAGATTTTTGAACAAAGTCCTGTAACTACAAATCTTTGACCATACTAATGACATTAATTTTTTGATTACTATGTGGTATGCTTACCAATGTAATGTATATTTAACCACTTAGCCCTTTATATATTCTTTAAAGTAATCACACTGAAGATGTACAAAAGCACATGATGTCCTTAGAGAAGTGTCAGAATTAGCAAACAAATAACTATCAATGCTAATTAATACCAATGTGTGTACTAGAGGCAACAGAAAGTAGTTGTCATTCCACAAACATTATGGTTATGTAAGGAAAGAGGAGAACTTGATGTGTATCATTACCCCTGAAGTATTGAAAATTGTGGGAAATACCAATAAGAGACAAGCTTTTCTTAGGTGGATCCATAATAGAAGCTGGATTTAAGAATCAGGCCAATGGGTTGGTGCTATTAATACACAAGGGTGCTATGTCATAGTCTTAGTATGGCCTATACTCATAATCCAGTATTAGATTCTATATGACAGTGAGGCCTGCTCATTGACACTCTTGCAAAAACCTGGCATCATTGTAAATTCAGCTTCTTTGTCCTCTTTTTTTATTGTTGTTGGTCATAGGGCTTGAACTCTGGGCCTGGGCGCTGTCCCTCAGCTCTTCAGCTCAAGGCTAGCGCTCTACCACTTGAGCCTTTGTCTTCTTTTAACACCCTGAAGCTGAGCAGAATTTTTTTTAAGTAAAATTGGTTTGAATTTAATTTGATACCATTTCTTTAACTGTTAAGAGAATTCACAGTTGAAAGTTCATTCAAATATTGTGAAGTCCTGTTAACAACACAATGGAAAGCCCGGCAAATACTACTACTCTAACATTGTGTTTTGCACTTTTGATTTTCCTCAGGACAAAATGTCCTTTCCGTTGTCAATCCTGACCTGCCTAGCCCTGCTTATTTCTGGTTCCTGTGAATTCTCCAATGAAACAAATCCTTCTAGAAGCTATCCTTGTGATGAGAAAAGGCAAAATGTTTCTGTGATTGCAGAATGCAACAATCGTCACCTACAAGAAGTTCCTCAAACAGTGAGCAAATACGTGACGGAACTAGACCTCTCTGAGAATCTTATCACACGCATAACGAATGAGTCGTTTCAAGGGCTACACAATCTCACTAAAATTAATCTTAACCATAATGCCAATCAGCAGCACCAGAACGAAAATCCCTGGATGAATAAAAATGGCATGAATATTACAGATGGCACCTTCCATCACCTAAGAAACTTGAGAGAGTTACTGCTTGAAGACAACCAGTTAGACAAAATCCCTGCTGACTTGCCTGAGTCTTTGAGAGAACTCAGTCTCATTCAAAATAATATAATTTCAATAACAAAAAATGACACTGTGGGTCTTAGGAACTTGGAAAGTCTCTATTTGGGCTGGAACTGCTATTTTGTTTGTAATGAAACATTTGATGTGGAAAATGGGACATTTGAAGACCTGACAAACTTGAAGGTGCTGTCACTATCTTTCAATACTCTTATTCATGTGCCACCCAAACTCCCCAGTTCCCTAACGAAACTCTTTTTGAGTAACACGAAGATCAAAACCATCCATCGAGATAACTTCATGGGGTTGAGGAATTTAAAACTGTTAGATTTAAGTGGGAACTGTCCAAGGTGTTTCAATGCGCCGTTTCCCTGCACCCCTTGTGCGAATAATGCTTCCCTTCAGATCCATCCTCATGCTTTTCGAGATCTGACCCAACTTCGCTATCTAAACCTCTCGAGCACGTCCCTGCACAAGGTTCCCTCCAGTTGGTTTGACAACATGCCTTATCTGAAAGAGTTGCATCTTGAATTCAACTTTTTAGTAGATGAAATCGCCTCTGGGGCATTTTTAACAAAACTGCCCTTCTTAGAAATACTTGATTTGTCTTTTAACTACAAGCAGACAGAATATCCACAAGAAATTAATATTTCCTCCAACTTCTCTTGGCTTCATTCTCTGAAAGCATTACATTTGAGAGGGTATGTGTTCCAAGAGCTGAAACAGGAACATTTCGAGCCCCTTCGGGGTCTTCAACACTTAAAGACCATCAACTTGGGCATCAACTTTATTAAGCAAATTGATCTTAGCCTTTTCCAACATTTACCCAGCCTGAAAATTATTTACTTGTCAGAAAACAGAATATCACCTTTGGCCAAACATGACCAGCAGAATGGCATAATGCAAAGGCATAGCCTGAAACCACGCTCAACTGATACCAAGTTCGATCCACATTCGAATTTTTATCACCAAACGACTCCTTTAATAAAGCCCCAATGCACCACCTATGGAAAAGCCCTAGATTTAAGTTTAAATAGTATTTTCTTTATTGGGAACAAGCAATTTGAAGGGTTTCATGACATCGCCTGTCTCAATCTGTCCTCCAATGGCAATGGTCAGGTTTTACATGGAACGGAATTTTCAGCTGTACCTCAGGTCAAATATTTGGATTTGACCTACAATAGGCTGGACTTTGATGATAACAAAGCTCTCACTGAACTGCACAACTTAGAAGTTCTGGATCTCAGCCACAATGCCCACTATTTCAGTATAGCGGGGGTCACGCATCGTTTAGGATTCATCCAAAAGTTAGCCCACCTCAAGGTTTTAAACTTGAGCTACAACAGCATTTATACTTTAACGGAGGAGAATGAATTGAAAAGCACGTCTCTAAAGGAATTAGTTTTCAGTGGAAACCGCCTTGACCTTTTGTGGAATGCGGGAGATACCCGCTACTGGCCCATTTTTAAATGTCTTATAAATCTTATTCGTCTGGACTTAGCTTCCAATAATCTCCAGCGGATCCCCAATGAGGCCTTCCTTAATTTGCCCCAGAACCTCAGAGAACTACATATAAACAACAATAGGTTAAATTTCTTTGAGTGGTCATCACTCCAACATTTTCCACAACTCCGCTTGCTTGACTTAAGTAGAAATGAGCTCTCTTCGGTAGCTCATGGCTTATCTAGCTTTACTCCCTCCCTTCAGACGTTGTTACTGAGGCAGAACAGAATTTCCCACCTGCCGGCTGGCTTCTTTGCTGAAGCCAGCTCCCTGATGCACCTGGACTTAAGCTTCAACCTGATTAAGATGATCAACAAATCCACGCTGCAAACCAAGACCCCCACCAACTTAGCTTTGTTAGAGCTAGGTAGGAACCCTTTTGACTGTACCTGTGACATCGGAGATTTTCGAAGGTGGATAGATGAAAATCTGAATGTCACCATACCTAGATTGGTGGATGTCATTTGTGCCAATCCTGGGGATCAAAGAGGGAAGAGTATCATGACTCTCGAACTCACAACTTGTGTTTCAGATACCATTGCGGCAGTCTTGTTTTTCTTCACATTCTTTAGCACGGTCATGGTTATGTTGGCTGCCCTGGCTCACCATTTGTTTTACTGGGATGTTTGGTTCATCTATCACATGTGTTTAGCTAAGATCAGGGGCTACATGTCTCTTTCCACTTCCCAAAACTTCTACGATGCTTATGTTTCGTACGACACCAAAGATGCTTCTGTTACAGACTGGGTCATCAATGAGCTGCGCTACCAACTTGAAGAGAGTGAGGAGAAAAACGTCCTCCTTTGTTTAGAGGAGAGAGATTGGGACCCAGGCTTAGCCATCATCGATAACCTCATGCAGAGTATCAACCAGAGCAAGAAAACCATCTTTGTGCTAACCAAAAAATATGCCAAAAGTTGGAACTTCAAAACAGCTTTCTACTTGGCCTTGCAGAGGTTGATGGACGAGAACTTGGATGTGATCATATTTATTCTGCTCGAGCCTGTGTTACAGCATTCTCAGTACCTGAGGCTGCGGCAGCGCCTCTGCAAGAGCTCCATCCTCCAATGGCCTGACAACCCCAAGGCGGAAGGCTTGTTTTGGCAAAGTCTAAAAAATGTGGTCTTAACTGAAAATGATTCACGGTATAACCATTTGTACGTTGAGTCCATTAGGCTACACTAACCAATAAGTAGTCAGGATGCAACAGTGTCATGAAAAATGCCAAGCAAACCCTTATCAGTGAGCTAATGCTGTGTAACAAATTACCCTTATACTTAGTGACTTCAAATGGGGTGCAGTTGTGAGCTCTCAGTCCCGAGAGGTGAAGGAGCCAGGCACACTGTCACTGGGGTCCTCCACTGGGCAGGGTCTCTCAATCAGGCTACAATCTAGGGGTTGGATCCCTTTCTAAGTAGGCCTTTCTGGGGTTCAGATCCACTTCTGAGCTCATATTTATGTGGTTGTCTTCAGAATTCAGTGGCTCCTAGGTTAGGCTCCTGGCCTCGGGCTGCTTTCGGTTCCCTGTTATGTGGATCTTTCTCACAAGACAGCTTCCTCCTCACAGCCAGCAAGAGAAGGCACTAGCAAAACAAAGTCACAGGCATGAGGGTTTAAAAAAAAAAACTTGAATTCTGCTTAGGAAAATGATATCCCATCGTTTTGGCTTTATTCTATTTGTTGGAAGTCAACCTCAGATTCCTACCAGGACCCAGAAGACGGACCCTCTTACTCCAGGGAAAAGAGGAGAACACCAAAGAAATAAAGCTGTGATCATCTCCGCCTAGGAAAAACAGTGTATGACTGAGATAAGTGACTGTCTCAGTCATCAATCATTTCTTCTGTCCCAGGGATAGCCTGTCCTCTTGGCCATAGTTTGTAAATACCAAGAAAGGGAGAGTATTCTGGCTTACCTTCACAGTCAGCCTGCTTTTGAACTCTTGCCACTGTAACTAATGGTTCTGACAATAAGAAGCTATTTAGATTTATCATATATCTATGGCTATACGGTGATCATGTCTGTGATGGATAATAATACTTTTACAATTATTTCCTATAACATTTCATTGTGAAGATTTAGATGGCATATAAAGACTGAATGGATGGAGATTTTCTTTGCCTTTTATTTTGTACCCACTCTTTAAAATCTAAATTAAAAGCTTTTAGAGTATTCGTTCATTCCTAATAAATTGTACATTACAATTTATTCACTTTGTGTGATAAATGTATGACAAACACACAGTAGGGAAATAGAGCTATAACAGAGGGGAAGTTGCTATCTATTCTGGGATTTTGCTTCAAGATTTTAAAAAAATATGCTATAGAAATAAAAGAGAAAGACATTTTCATAGTAAGGTAATTACTATTATTATTATTATCATTATCATTATTATTTTGGTGCTGGCCCTGAGACTTGAACTGAGGGCCTGGGTGCTGCCTTTGAGATTGTTTGCTCAAGGCTAGTGCTCTACCAGTTGAGCCATACATGCACTTCCGGTTTTTTGGTAAGTAATTAGAGATGAAGAGTCTCATGGATTTTCTAGCCATAACCGGCTTTGAACCGTGATTCATAGCTCTTGGCCTTCTGAGTTGCTAGGATTACAAGCACAGGTCACTGGCACCTGGCATATTAAGGTAAATTTTAATAGATAAATTGATGCAATTTCCTAAATAGAACAGCTCTCCACCCCTCCAATGCCCTGCACTATCCTCTTGGCTCCTCCGCATGCAGCACACTGTAGCCACTATAGGCAAGAATCTTGGAATATCTTATGAACTGTATCTGATAACAACTGGAAATTGAGTATAAGAGAGTAAAAACCCTTCGTAATGAAGACAAATCTCCAAAGCACCATCTTTGCTAAGGTACATCCCTTTTGTTAACCCTGCAGGATACCGTGTGTGTCATAGTTTAACTCAGCTTCGATAAACTAGAAATTAGCACATGTTTGTCAAGTACAATTTAATGCTGTCATGTTGAACCTTACTTTGTGACCGTGGTAGTATAAAGGAAGGACTTTACAGTTCCACTCCCATTGTCCTCTCCATCCTCAACACCCCTGGTCCAAGATACCTGTACAGTCATCCCTCGCTACATTGCTGTTCATTTATTGGCTTCACTGTATTGTGTGGTTTTGTTTTTGAATGAGTAAATAGGGATCCCTCACCTATCATGGGAGTTACGTTCCAGAGACCTCCCCCCTCTGCCCCATCACCCCATCCCCCTCCCTCCCTCCCTGCGTGATTGGTAAAAATTCTCTAGGTAGCAATAAGTGAACCACGATAGAGCAAGGGACAACTAACGCTGCTACTTCGCGGATTGTCATCTATGGTGGGGATCTCTGGATCCTAATCCTGTGCTAGGTGAGAGATCACTGAACTTTGCACTGATTTCTTGGCATACACTCTAGTCTCTAGTCCCTGCAACTCAGTTCCAGTGGCTAGATTCTTCTAAACAATATGGCTTCTTCTGAAGTGAATTTAACGTTGCAGCTCCTGTTCAAGACCCTGTAAGACACTCTGTAGCTGCTGTTTGTCTCTTCCTATAGCCTCTGAGTTAACTTAAGTACTCTCACCCACTAGCCCCTTGTTCATGCTACAAAAATACACTGATCTAGCCATGTGCTGGCGGCTCATGCCTATATTCCTAGATTCTCAGGAAGCTGAGATCTGAGGATCATGGTTTGAAGCCAGCTGGGATAGGAAAGTCCGTGAGACTCTTATCTCCAATGAATCACCCAAAAACCAGAAGTAGCATTGTGGCTCAAATGGTAGAGCACTAGTCTTGAGCATAAAAAGCTCAGGGATAGTGCCCAGGTCCCGAGTTCAAGCCCCACGACTGACAAAATGTAAAAAAAATAAAAATACAGCCAACTTCCATTTCAGTAGCTATGTGGCCCCACCTTAAGGAGCTGTTCCTCTGCATTTCATACAGCTCACTTCTGCTTATCCTACATGGGGTTGAAAAGGCAATGTAGAGCCGTTTCTATCTAACCTTCAATGCTCTCCTACACATGAACGTCTTAGCAGTTATCACAGGTTTACTTGGGTAGATGGCACAGAAATAGTGTCAGCAACGAAAGTACTTTTCATTCCACTGTAAGCTGAAGAGATCAGGGAAGAGGGATTTTTGCCCATCACTCTGTCCCCAGAATTCACTACCACGCCTGCTACACAATAAAAATTCTCAAGAATACTTTTCAAGTCATATATGAATGACTGAACGGACTTGCAGTTTGACTCCACCAGCCATGTCCTGGATGTGAGGTCACTCTACAGCCTTTCTTCACCCAGGTCCCTGCTTCTCCACTCCCAGAGCTAAGCATGCTTGCTGTCTCTTAGGTACGATCAAGTGCCAACAATTTTGGATGCCATGGGGCTGATTGGACAAGGCTAGGAGTCTAAGCAGAAATCATTTGCTTCCTTCTCTGAATGTCAGATCAAGCATAGCACAGATAGAGGAAGGCAAGAGAATAGGCCACAAAATAGAAGAACTTGGGAAATCGAATGCAACTATGTGCAGATTGTGGGAGAGTCCATAAGGAGCAGTGAGTAGACAGTAGAGTAGCAGTGAGTCTCAATTTAGGCTCATGGGAAATTGGTACTGGCTGCCCGTCTGTGGTAGCTCAGAGGTTTTATAGCACCATTCAATGCAGGATTTTCCCCACATTTATTTCATACCTTATAATATGTTTTCCATGGAAAACTATTCCTTCAGTCAAAGAAGTTCCGGAACTATTTGGCCATGACATTATTTCTCATGTGCAAAGGGATTTCCAAAAGGGAATCTCAAACTTATTGGCTATGGACTGCTTTCCTCTTCCTTCTCCTTTCTTTTTCCTCCCTTCTTTCTTTCTTCCTTCCTGGATTCATTCCTTCCTTCTTTCCTTCCTCTCTCTCTACATCTACCCCTCTGTCTCAGTCTCCCTCTTTCTCTTCTTTTCTCTCTTCCCTCCTCCCTCCCTCTTTCCTCTTTTCTTTTCTTCCTTTCTCCCTTCCTTGGTAAGATGTCTGGAGACAATTATTCTCTCTTTTTCTTTCTTTCTGGGGCATTGTTCTTTTTCTTTTCCCCTTTCCTTTCCTTTCCGACACATCTTCTGGGACTAATGTTCTTTCTTTATCTCTTTTCTAAAATTGTAATTTGAAGGCTTGATTCACTCAACCAGGTGAGCCACTAAAATGTACCCAGGGATTTATGGTGACATTTACTGTTCTGATGTGGATTATTCTGTTTCCAAAATGTGGAGAAAGAATCCAGGCCACATATCTTGCAGTTTTTATATGCAGGTGAAGAGGTCCTGCTCTGAGTCTACTCGGTCTCCAGGGGGCTATTAATGCTTCCACAGAGACTGATGACAAGGCAGATTAAAAGCCAGAAGCTGGGAATAATAAAACTGTAAAAATGACAAATTCTTCTTTGGTGTTGGACAAAGATGTTAATAATTTCTAAAACACCATTAGCCATAGAAGGGATAATTTCAGCACTTGACATTAACTGAAAACAGACATAATCCTTCCATGGACTGGGCTAATGTTTTCTGTGTCTTAAGGGACTCTCTAGTCACTTATTTGGGATACTAATGTATTCGGAATGACGAAAGAAGTAGTCTCTGATCTTGAAAGAATTTCCAGCTTTGAATTGGTAAATCAGATCTAATCAACATTGGATATTCTAGAGATTTTATAGATAGATTGATTGATTGATTGATAGAGATTTTTATAGATAGATGAAATGTGTACATGTGGGTATAATATACACACGCAGATGAGGAAGTATCTATATATAAATAGAGATGGTCACTGCTGTCTAATAAATATAAAAATGATGAGAGTACATTTAAAAGGAAGAAAATGAAAAAAAGAACATGGCACAGACATTTCTATATTTCTTTTAAATGCCTTCTTTGTAACATGCAATTTATCATATTGGAGTCACAGAGAGATACCTCATCAAAACAAAACATAGAAAAGATAAAGTCTAAGACTATACATTTAGAGAGCATTTCTATGGTTGAAAAGACAAAATCCAAATGCGTTCTACAGAGGTGTTAATTCTCTTAGTTCAGCACACAGACTAAAAGGTGGCAGATGAAGGGTAGAGACAGAAAAGAGAAGAGAGAAGAATATAAGAGAAGAATAAGGAGAGAGGTAAGGAGAGGGGAGAGGAGAGGTGGAACTGGGAAGGATGGGTATAAGTGCTCAGGCAAGAGAAGAAAGGCTGGCAGAAAGAGAAAAAGCTACAGTTAGCAGACAGTGAAAGTAGGATCAAAAGAAAACTCATTGCACAGCTCTAAGACCCGCAAACGCTTGTGACCTCTCTAGAACAACCTTGACTGATATATAGCAGTTTAAGAGACAAAGGACAGTACTAATAAGAATGGTTGAGTGGAACGTCTATTAAAAAATAAAAACCTTTAAATTTTGTTTTGTTTTTTGGGTCCAGTTGTGGGGCCTGAACTCTGGGCCTGGGCGCTGTCCCTCAGCTCTTCAGCTCAAGGCTAGCGCTCTACCACTTGAGCCACAGCACCACTTCCGACTTTTTTCTTTTTGCTTATGTGGTGCTGAGGAATCAAACCCAGGGCCTCATGCATGCAAGGCAAGCGCTCTACCACTGAGCCACCTTCCCAGCCCAAAACCTTTAAATTTTATTGCAGCAAATGTTGACTTTGCTTTTACAAAGCATGCTTATTCAAAAGTTTTCCACCATCCATATATACTACAAGCCTTTTAAATATCTTGTATAGGTATCTATTGAAATGTTAGACATTTCTGTTTTGTTTTTTTTTTTTTTTTTTGTCAGCTATGGGGCTTAACTCTGATCCTGGGTGCTGTCCCTCAGCTCTTCAGCTCGAGGCGAGCGCTCTATCACTTGAGCCACAGTGCCACTTCTGGTTTTCTGGTGGTTCATTGGAGATAAGAGTCTCACGGACTTTCCTGCCTGGGCTGGCTTTGAACCATGGTCCTCAGATCTCAGCCTCCTGAGTATCAGCTAGGATTACAGGCATGAGTCACCGGTGCCAAGCTTAGATGTTTCTGTTTCTGTTAACCCAAAAGAACTTTCTCCCTAAATATTCAAATATATGTCATCTTTTCACTGGGCATGGGGCTGGACGTGGAGGACTTGGAGGGGAGTATGCAGGGTTCTGGACCTCCAAGAGCACAAACCAGTGGAA